TCGTCCCCTTACTACTAATTTCTGGCTATGACCTAAATTCAATGGATAGGCGGAGTAACAGTCTGTTTACTATATAAAAAGATTTGATTGGACAATGGATATCATATTGTTTCCAGTCAGGCACCTAAAGGATATACAGAAGAAAGAGTAGTTAGTTAAATGTGAACCAATTTTGAACACTAATTAATAATAATACAATTTTTACAGTAAAGCAAGATTTGATGGTTTGATTGTTTTTATTTGATATCATGCCAAGAAATTGCCTCCGTTGAAATTTTGCAAACATCCCATAGAGCAAATTACATGGATGATTAATTTTGACCATTTGGTATATGGCTGTGTTTTAAGTGAGACGTACACGCGGGTCATAAATTAATTTATTGAATGAAATCAAATCTTTAACTACTAATGGATGCCGTGGGAGGTCGACCGGAATTTTTAGCGAGGATTTCTTGGCATGTTTCAAACAGAACTCAAACAGTACTTTTAGAAAACATGTCATCTTCAAAAATACCAGTCACATCGGGTGTCACACAGGGTACTAGGGCCTATACTTTTCCTTATTTACATAAATGACCTTCCAGAATACATCTAACATAGCAAAATCAGACTCTTCGCAGATGACAGTATAATTTACAGACAAATTAAATCTCAAAATGACTGCCTCAAGCTTCAAGATCTAGAAGCTGCCATACAATGGGAGCAAGACTGGCTCATGTCTTTCAACCCAGACAAATGCTACATCATGAACATAACAACCAAAAGAAATCCCATCCACTTTTACTACAACATGTATGGACACATCTTAGAATCAGTAAAACATGCCGCTAAAGCAAATAAATCTTTATGTTTTATCAGAAGAAATCTCAAAGTCCAGTCACAAAAAATTAAAGAAAGAGCATACCAAACACTTATATAAGACCCAAATTAGAATACTGTTGTACTGTATGGGACCCATACACAAATGAAAACATAAGATCATTAGAAAAAGTACAGAGACGAGCGGCAAGGTATGCATGTAACAGACATCACAACACCAGCAGTGTGTCTGAGATGCTAGACACCATGAAATGGCAATCACAAGAACGCCGACTAAGAACAAGGCTAATAATGTTCCACAAAAATTATAAATGAAAAGATTGCCATACCTTCTCAAAATTTATTACAGCAGAGTCAGTCCAATACAAGATCCACCAATAAAGATGCCTACCGAAAAATCCAATGTAACAAAGACAGCTACAAATTTTCTTTCTTTTGTCAAACCATTAAAGACTGGAACAAATTATCCTCCGACATAACCAAAAACACCACTACAGAAACCTTCAAGGGTGCACTCACTCACGATGCTCCTTGATACCTATCCACAACTGAAGTAAACAGGCAATCATGTTTTTTTTTATCTTAAATTAAAAAATTAAATAAAGAATAGAATTAAATATTAGAAAAAATTAAATAAAAAAGAAAAATTGTAAAAATTGATAATATAACAGATATATAAAAATAACAAAAATTTGGAAAACAAAATTTGTTAATCTATGTTTAACAGTACTTAATAAATTATAAATTTGGAAACATTTGTACCAGGCATGCGCCGGAAAGTAAACATCAGTATGTTGATGGTTTTCTGAAACTGAAGAAGAAGAAGAAGAAGATGTTTAACCCATCCACATTTTGCATGTGAATTTCCCAAGTCAGGAATCTGTAATTCAGTAGTTGTAGTTTGTTGCAGTATATCATATATGTAGTATTTGTAGTTTGTTGCAGTATATCATATTTGTTTTTCGTTTATTGTTTTGTACATAAATCAGGCCGTTAATGAATTTTCTCGTTTGCATTGTTTCACATTTGTCATTTCGGGGTCTTTTATAGCTTACTGTGCGATAACTGAGTTTTGCTCATTGTTGATGGCCGTACGGCGACCTATAGTTGTTAACTTCTACGCCATTTTGTCTCTGGCGGAGAGGTATCTTATTGGCAATCAGACCACATATTCTTATAATTACACTACCTATTTATTCATTGTTAATTTGTTATCGTCATGAAAATTTGCCTTTAAGCGTTAAGCAATCAATTAATCTATATGTCAAGGTCTTTTACACCTTTTGAACTTCATTCTTGTTTTTTTTTGTACCAGAATCAGATGCGGGCCCAGATTCAAAAGGGGCACCGACAAGACAACGCTAGGAATGACACTTGTAAAAGGTTTATGCATTAATCATATATATGCTCCATAAGGGAACCCTTGCCGCAGCCCCCTAAATCCCCTCTGAGAATGTTTGGAAGGTTTCTTTTAAGATACTAACACAATTTTCAAAGAACATGTGTTTATTTGAATTTATTGTTATTCTTTAAACCTAACAAATGTCTTTTTAGTCTCCACTATGCTTTCTCCAAGATTGCTGTCAAGATAATATGCATGACACGTAAAGCTGCCTTTTGGTCAAATTGTGTAGGAATATGCTCTTAAGTGAATTGGGATAAGGAAATGTAAACCAGTAATGTGACATGACAAATTAAATCGATACAGTGGAATTTTACAGGAAAGCAGTATTCATGTGATAGACGTTATTGTACAACACTGGAATTTTACCTTTTTTTTTGTTTCAAACATTTTTTAGTCAATACAATTCACTTAGTTTTCAATAGCTTGCTAGTTTTTAACATTTGTCTTACTCAGTGATAACGTTTACTCTGCGTTTGTCATACAGTCAGTTTCAACATTTATTTGCTGCTCAGCCATCTACGACAGAGAGGGAGATACTGCAGTATATTTGGGCACCAATGGATAGTAATATGTATGCTGATTTTACCACTTATGGAACTGAGGGAAGAGGGGGGGGGGGGGGGTCAAACATGCATTTCCTTTTAAGCACTGTTTAAATGTTTAAATAAGTAACAATTGTGATGTAAATTTTATCATGTGATTATATCATTTAGCATTGGTCGTTTTACAAAGATGTCTTTTGGTTTTTCTATGTCGTTTGGTTGCTATCTCGTTGATTTATACCCCATGTCTCCTGTTATTCGTATGACTGTTTATATTGTTTATTGATTGATTGATTGATTGTAGGTTGCCTAACGCCCAATGACAATTGTTTATATTGTTTGCACCATTGTTGGGATATTGATATAAGAATGATTTTTTGACTTTTTATACATAATCTTTAAATTACGCTTAACCCAGTGTTTATTTGCTTTATGGGATGGAATTTACACTTATATTTGAAATCCTAAATGCCTGTGTAAGTTTTTGCTGTTTTCGCAAAAATCACCCCGTCACACGTTTGTTTGTGCATACAGAGTGATTTTCTCGGTTGTGATTTATTGGTACACCCAATACCAAAACCAAGGACAACCTGAAAAATTCAACACGTTTGGAGAACAATAAAATAGCAATAATCACCCAAACCTTGTATGTCGACATCGTTTACTTTAAATATTTGTTATAATGAAAGTTTTTTAAAGTTAGATTGATATTTCCACAATGGTCTTTCTTTTATCAGAAAATCATCTGTTCTATAACGGTTAGCTGGACTTTATTCTGGTCGTAAAACCTATGCTAAAGAGTACATGTAGTCTGTTTGTCTATATCCTTCATCCAGGTCGACCAATTTTACAGAACCTTTCTATCGAATTTATTAATAGGTTATCAAATATATATGAGCTTTTTTACTAGGTATGCTGCTGATGCACAACAGCACATGATACGCTTTGTAGCTATGCAATCCTTTTTTCTGCATTCTTTGCCTTTTTCTTCTTTTTATCTTTTATACATATACGTTAACGGGACAACGGCTCAATAATCTACCCAGATATTTATAAGAGCAACATATAAGAGAGGCGTTAGATACCAAAGGGATATTCAAACTCATAAGTGGAAGACAAAATGACAACGCCATGTCAAAAAACGAAAAACGACCAACCGTCTACAAAACACAACATAGAAGACAAAAGACTGAGCATCACGAACCCCACTAAAACAGGAGTTTTCTCAGGCGCTAAGGAATAGTAAACATATTCTGCACCAAATGTGGCACCCGTCATGTTGCTCATATAATTACAAATTCGGTGATAAGTCTAATTCGGTGATGTCACACTTCAGAAAAAGAGGACGGGATTGTGGTTACAACAATTGGAACATATCCGTCGTCATACGTTATAGAAAATTTCAAGGGATGACTTTAACTTCACCACTTTGAACCCTTGGTTTAATAGCTACCTTGTAAGCAGCCCTCCTCCATCACGGAAATCTTGATAAAAAATGCAAGCTCTTGAATATAGTATCAACTGGGTGGATATATACTACATATGCAGGCTTTGCTGAATATAATCAATAAACAGGTGTTTATAGAATACATTTGTGTATCAAGCTCTAAATCGCTCATAACATAAAAGGGTTGTGAAACTATACCCCAATATCGAAAAGGGTCTTTTTATGGTACGATGTTTCATTTCGTCTACTCGTCAGATCGTCCGGAGTTATAACGATTTCTTATAAACTTACTTAAGGTTACTTTTGTTATTTGTACTTTTTGACCATTTTCATGTTGCCTGTGCATAGTTATGACTCAGTAAAAAAAGTCAATTCTGTCTAAAGCTTGATAAATGTACGAATATCAGGAATACGAATGTTGGCGGTTTGTTTGTCGTTGCAGGGTTGTTAGAAATGATTTTTTTAACTTATTCTAAAATGTATGTTTACAATCCCAGTAGTCAGCACTCATGTGTTGACATCCAACATCATTGATTCTGTCATTTTCTGTAAATTTTCTGCTTATAAAAAATATTGAATTACTACTACTATTTGAAACACTAAGGTTTTCTACCCGAGACGTAAATGACCTTAGTCGTATTTGGCAATTCGTAATTTTTAGAATTTGGGTTTTAAATGATATTCAGTTTCGTTTTTGATTTGGCCTTCCTATACTAGTTTGGTTCAATGTTAAGTACTATATTATAAAGCAGAAACGTGTGTCTGACCAACCAAATTATAAGCCTAGTATCTTTGGTGAGTTTTTATTGACCTTCATGATGAATTTAAGTATTTTATTTGAATATGTCGATCGCTATATACTATTTTTCTCGAAACTGTATACTAGTATTCCAAATCAATATCGATAAAAATTACAGCTTTATATTTTGAAAACGCTCGCTTCTATAGGTTGAGCAGACATCAAAAAATAGTTATGTTCACACTTTTTGAAATGATTTTCGAGGATCTTGCGCTCCTGAAACAACTGTCTATATATGTAACACATGAACCAAAGTAACTTCTTAGATGAAATGTAAATTTATGCATTTAAGATCAAATAATTTAATTAAATTGATACACAAAACGACTCAAAAGTCCAAATTTCCTGGGCTACAGCGAGGATTCTTGTTATCCCAATGTATTCTGAAAAAGAAGACAAAAATCATTAGTTCATTGTAAAATCAATTACTATAATAGTACTTGTATATTGCTTATATATGAATCCCGGCCAGGGAAGATCTTACATTGTTGGGCTGTTGTTTAGACGAATTATATATACAGAATGTATTTTCAGCCTTGTATCACCATCACTGCTGGTGATCCGTTGGATAAAATCTGTTGTAGAGTCGTCACTGGTTCAGACGTGCTTATATTATCGTATCGAGGAATGTTAAAGTTTACTGTAAAAATATTATTGTGATAAAATAATACCTTCTTGTACTTTAAAATACAAATATATTAAAACATTGTTCTTAAATTCTTTTTGATGTATGGTGGACTCTGAGTGAAAATGTCCCATCGTAGAATTAAACGTGTTATCATATTTAAAGACCTTTTTCAAGTTTCCAACTGTTTTCTATTAATTTCATTTGTTTTTTTTCCAAAATGACAGTGTTCGCATATTATTCAAGAATCCTGACTTGCGTGTTTTTAATTATTATAAAGTGAAAACTAGAAGATTTCTCTATAGGCATTGATATAGTGTAAATCATAGTATAGTACATACAGTCAGTCATTAAGACATATTGAAATACTATTTACGTCTCTACCCTCTATTCGTTAGTATTAAAAAAAACATAGAAATATTTAAAAATTGTGAAACATTGCTTGCAACTTACCAAAGATGTACCACGACATTCTGGAGGTATATTAAATATAGATCTATCTTTTATACCGACAGTGAGATTCTCAAACGATCCACTTCTATATACTCGATCTGTAAATACGACCATATAGACATGTGATTGCAATTAACAAGTTTCTTCATTTGTACTGTATTAAGAATATTTTAAATTGTTGTCCTAACATTTTTCTTCCGACTGTTCCAAGTATTTGTAATTGATACACCATTGAAAAGCTTCAATTCATTATAAAGACTATTTAACTTATTCTTTGATAAAATGTATTTCGTTTTTTATTGTTATTTCATGATAAAAGAGCATACTGTATGGATCCTTAAAATGTACCTACCCTTGTTAGCACTACTACCAAAACTGCTGTAGGATACAGGTACACATCCAGTGGCATAGTTAGCATAAACCGTCGTACCATCTTGTTGATATGTATACTGTGTAATTTGTAATTGGTTAAGTCCTAGGTACACAGGAGAACTTTTCTGTGCATTAGCTATAGAAAAAACAAGTTAATAGTACAAAGAACGTGTCGATTTAAAAAAAAATCATTTCACGCCGAAGATGGAGCATAACAGTAAACTGCCATCATCATAAACTACACTAGAACACACCCGTGATTTCGCGGGTACATGACTGAATTAAAGTATATATGCCTTATTTTCAGCCTGGATTTTTAATATTCGTATTGTCATCTGATAAAGTCATGCAGATTGGAAGGTGTACAGTTTTCTCTACATTCAAAATCTTTCTGTTTGAACCCGTCCCGGCTTGTTTTCTTACCACAATAAACTTACTATAAACAAAATTTAAATTTTTTAACTAATTAACCAAATTGATAGTGGTATTGAGGTGGAAGAAAAAAGACTTGCTAAATAGTGTACTATAGTGTAACATAGATATAAAATAACTACTGGAAGAATTCCAGGTTCTCCTGATAGAGGAGTGATTTACAGAAGGTAACAAGAAACTTCATGTTGACATATACTATTGGTATCGGTATCGGATTCGACCCGGAACTTGTTAATTATTGGTATCATCTTCAATAACTTTAAATCCATCCAAAAGAGCTGGAGTTATATTTTAAAGGTGTACGACTTTTTGACGGAACGAAATAACGAATACAAAAGTTAAAAGCACTGATGATGAAGTCATCTCAATTCCATGGATTTGAAATGAAATCAGTTTAAGAACCGTCGTCAAGCATGCAGTTTAGTTATCTTTTTCGGTTGAGGGTTTTAACATTGCAGAATTTGTATAACCAGTTTGTATATACTTTATTATAAATGAAATCATTCATAACATGAAAGTGCAATCATTCCTCAATTAGTACTTGAAGACAATTCGTTGTATAAACACCTGTATATTGTTGAAGATCGTAAGTTTCCTCTAAGAATCATTTTCTTTTTGTGTCGTTATGTTGCTGTCTCATTGAGGTATAGAAAGTTTAGTAGCATACAATTGCAACATCTGAATCGATCGTACAAATGTACACCAGTTTGGTCCTGTTATGGATAACTCAATAGTGAGTCTTCAAGACAGATTTAAGCATTCACAATACACAAATTTAAACAAAACTTTACTATGTTAAACTTGATGCTTATTGTTTTCTAGTCATTAGGAATCCTTGAGAGATATCGGATCCTCCAATGTATGTCTCCTTTTTCTTTTTTTTTTTTTTTTTTATTAAAATTGACTTTAAGATATCTAGAAACATATCTTCCTTGTGTATTTTTACATTGACCTATCAAGGGAGATGAGATCAATTGGAGTCGGGATCCCTCTTTGGTCAAAAATCGAAAAACAAATTACTTGATAATGGGCGAAAACAAGTATAAAAAGGCTAACGGGGCAACATCTATAAGCCCTACAGACACGCCCTTTAAGTGAATATACTTCTGTGTATATGATTATAATACAGGTTGAAACTTAACACAAACTGATGTATCAGTATATTTAATAAAACCACAAACTGATGTATCAGTATATTTAATAAAACCACAAACTGATGTATCAGTATATTTAATAAAACCACAAACTGATGTATCAGTATATTTAATAAAACCACAAACTGATGTATCAGTATATTTAATAAAACCACAAAATGATGTATCAGTATATTAAATAAAACTTCATTTCAAATATATATAATTGCATACTTACCGGGTGTACACGTGACATTTGAAAAGGATTTCATAATTCTTGTGACATTACATTTACCATCGACAACTTCATAAAGGACATTCTGAAAACCAAGAAATAACAGTATACCAAACTGATATTATCCTTTCACTTTAACCAAGGATTTGTATAGTCTTACTCCTTACTTTAACACTGTTAAATAGTGACTACAGAAAACTAAGGTGTAGTTCATTCTGGAATGAGTTATATTTTCTGTCGACAATCTATGCATATCTATTCCTCCATAATGTTATCTCACCCTATTCGGTTTTTGCATTTCTTCAACGTTTATTCAAGAATTTCGAGTATCGTTTGTGGAAGAAAATCGTATCAGGTGAATCAATTTGGTACTAGAAGTAATAAAAATGAGATCATAAAAATGCTTTTATGACAATCATTAGAATTAACTATAGCGTGCTGAAATTGGTGGGATATTGTTATGAATGATAGATGGCTAAATCAGTTGTAGCTAGTTTTCATGTTCTTATATTTCTAACTATATTTCCTCTGTTTGAAATTGTATATTTCTACTTATTATAACATGACGCTAAAACCCTTTAAAATATCGGTTATGGACATCCACATTTAGATTAGACTAATGGAAAACTTCGACATCCCATACCTGATGCATTACAACACACTGCTTGCAAATTTATGCTGCTGCTGTTTTATTTATTTTTTGTTTGACATATTCACACTACACATTGAAAACGACTTACAAATAATTATACACTTAAGATGCTAACAAAACCAATAAAAAAATCGCAAATGATACACTACTGTTTAAAAAAAGTGGAACATATATACATAACCCTATCAAAGTGAATAGGGTTTGGATAATCAAACCCGATATTTATTTTTTTTTACGGAGATAACTCTTTTACACATACAGAGATATAGTCGGCCAATGATCTGAAGTTGCCAGTATAGCCTCCGTTAGCAATGTAAGTTCCTGAAGATGCATACCGCCTCAATGGTGTATCCCAGCTTAGTTTCAACATAGCCTACAATACATAAATACATGACATTCTTTTATTTTGCCTTTTAGAATATACTCAAGTTCACGCAGTTAACATTATAAAAACACTTTAGTAAGATATAAACTACATATGTATGTTAACTCAAAGTATAAACAGTCAAATAATGGCTGACAGCAATCGGAATCTTAGAACTCCAAAAGGATGAGACCAGGGGTCGACAGGTGAATGTGTCATGCTATGCATTCTTCAATCGACATATTAATCTAAACATCATATAAAAGCCAGGAGCACGGCGCAACCGGGCGGTGATAATATCAGATGTACAATAAAGGCCAGGATGACATATATGGCAGATTTACAATCCTATTATATTAGTAAGTTGCGATTTGACTTCATATTTTCTTTTTATACCATCGTTATATAGACACCAACATTCAAGTCAGCGGAATGAGGCTTAATGATCTACTGAGTAGGATCAAGAGATGATGCTTCGATATGAGGAACCCCCGCTTATCTAGTTTTACACATAGGGGGAAATGATTTAGGAGACATTAAGACAGGAGTGTTACGTAATAGACTAGAAAATTATGGGAATAAAGTTTCAGAACTTTTACTGAATTCCACATTGGTATGGTCTCAAATTTTGCCAAGACTAACCTGGCGTTACTCCGCTGATAAAGAAGCAATGGATAGAGCCAGGCAGAGGATAAACAGCTCGCTAGCTAATCACAGTTATATCATTCGCCAAGGGGGACATTACATACGATACCCCGATATATCTCCCAATTCCATATTTATATGTCAAGATGGTGTACATTTGACTGATATTGGTAATTACATTTTTCTAAACACAATTCAAGGCGCTTTAGAGGCCTTTCTTGTCTACTCACCACATACTTTCCCGAATGTAAATCATGAAAAAATTGTATGATATTCATTTGAATTCAGTGGATAGTTAGTTTTAAATATATATAGCTCTTCTATATCTTTTTTATTGTATTTGGCACACAGCTTCTACGCAGCTCTATCCGCTCTAAATGGCGGTTGACCCGTCAGTCATTTATGACTGCCTTGGTCAATTTGGCACATTTCGCTGCGTTTCCTTTAAATATGCGTCATTTTGCGTCATATTTCATTCAGCATCCGAAACATTTGACATTGGGGATCTCTGAATCACAGGACCCACCACACAAACATTTATGAATCTCTGTATCCCAGGGTTCATTTAATTGGATGCTTCATTTGTTTTAGATATTTAGTTATCTAGTTAGTTATCTAGTTATCTTTTGGTAGTTTGCTAATTTGAAAGGTGACTACGTTCATTTAATCATCTATTTACTATATATAAAATTGAGAATGAAAATAGGGAATGTGTCAAAGAGACAACAACCCGACCAAAGAGCAGAAAACAGCCCAAGGCCACCGATGGGTCTTCAACACAGCGAGAAAATTCCGCACCTGGAGGCGGGTTTCAGCTGGCCCCTTAACAAAAATGTGTACTAGTTCACTGAAAATGGACGTCACACTAAACTCCGAAACATATAAATGAACTAAAATTAAAAAAAAACATTCAAGACTAACAAAGGCCAGAGGCTCCTGACTTGCGACAGGCGCAAAAATTCGGCGGGGTTAAACATGTTTTGTGAGATCTCAACCCTCCCCCTATACCTCTAGCCAATGTAGAATAAACAAACACACAGCAAAACGCACAGTAAAACTCAGTTTAGAAGAAGTCCGAGTCCAATGTCAGAATAGGTAACATAAGAAACTAAGCAAAATGACAATGATACATAAATTAACAAAGGACTACCAGCAGTTACTGACATGCCAGCTCCAGACTTCAATTAAACTGATTGAAAGATTATGTCGTCATCATATCTATATCCCTTCTGAATAAGTCTGTTTAAAGGTTTGGTTAGCTTTTGAGGTGAATGACGACATTTTTGTGCTTTGTATAGAATATTACCATAAAAGATTGGATGTGAAATACCTGAACGCATAAGATGTCTGCATGTTGATTTATATTTATGAATGGTGTCCTTGTACCGATGATAAAATTTAGTAAATGTTTTGACTAGTTTGTGATATCGAAAACCCGGGTGCAATAATTTTTTCAGTAATACAGAGATTTCTTTCGTTAAAATCAAACACGTTGTTACATACACGAGCGAATCGAATAAGTTGAGATATATAAACACCATAAGATGGTGACAAGAGAACATCGCCATCTAAAAAAGGATAGATAACAATAGGAAATGGAAAAATCATATCTTTTATCGTAAATTTTGGCATTAAGCTTCCCGTTAAAGATATAGATATCAAGATCCATGAAAGGGCAGTGTTCATTGTTAGTATTACCTTTATTTAAAGTGGGTTCAGCAGGATAAATCTCTTTAGTGTACATACTGAAGTCGTCATTATTGAGAGCCAAAATATCATCCAAATATCTAAAAGTGTTATTAAATTTTTGTATCAGATGTTGTTTCGATGGGTCTTTGCTTATTTTAGTCATAAATTGTAAGTCATAACAGTACACAAACAGGTCCGCAATGAGTGGTGCACAGTTAGTCCCCATTGGAATTCCGATAACTTGACGATATACGGAATCTCCATAGCAAACAAAAATGTTCTCTAGTAAAAATTCAAGTGCAGTTATCGTATCAAAGCAGGTCCAAATGACATAGCTCTTTTGTTTGTTGTTACTAAAAAATAACCTAAAAGAGTTTGAATATATATCTTAACTGTTTACATAGTTATATGTGGTTATATTATTTATTTACAGGTTGATTGTCCAAGATGGGTCGCAAATATTGATGTGATATGTAGAGACAGACAATTTTCATTGAGATATTATGAATTACGTGTACTTGTTATCTGAATAAAAATTGCACTTGACTTTTGCAAGTGGCTACTCCCATATGAGAGTTTTGTATTATATTGATAAATGTTTTATGTTCGGTTGAGTCTACGAATCAGAACATAAAGATTACAAATAACATATCGATATTAATATTTCAACTGAAGCTTTATCATTCTCGAGTAAAAAATATGTATTTTTAGTGATTATATATTAATAGATTTTGATCATTGTATGAATCATAAATATGAAACTGTCCGAGTTTTTATCATCTGTGTTCACTTCACTCATACATTATCTTACCTTAGAGACAGTTGGAATCGTCTTTCCAGCACTCTTTGTAGCGGTAGTAACTAACTCATCAGCTTCCCATTCTGAAGGAAAGCAGCATTGTTCTGACAAAAGTATAAGAGAAAACAAAACGGCCAGAGAAAACATTGTGTAGCGGTAGATGCCAAATGTGGAACTGTTGTTGGAATCCTTATCAGAAAAATAAATCCTCTTGACCACAGATAGGTCAGGTCATTGTGTCTTATCATTAGATACTTATAAGTTATACAGAATGTAGTAACGTTATTAAATGTGGAAAGGTCGATTAATATAAATCATTTACAAGTCGTTTAGATAGATATAAGAAGATGTGGTAAGAGTGCCAATGAGACAACTCTCCATCCAAGTCAAAATTTATAAAAGTAAACCATAATAGGTCAAAGTACGGTCTTCAACACGGAGCCTTGGCTCACACCGAACAGCAAGCTATAAAGGGCTCCAAAAAATTACTAGTGTAAAACCATTCAAACGGGAAAACCAACGGTTTAATCTATAAAAAACGAGAAACAAGAAACACTTTTGAACCACATCAACAAAAGACAACTACTGAATATCAGATTCCTGCATGAAACAATTCTCTGTAAGTGATGGAATTGATTACTGTTGTTGTTTTTGGGTCATTGTGGTAATAAACTGCTTGAAAAAGTATGATTATTTCATTACTGTAAAATGTAGAAAAAAAATCTTACGTATACAAAAAAATCTTCTTTGTCTTTCTAAAATAGCGTTTATGGTACCTTACATCCATTGTACATGAATGCGTTTACGTTGTATACTCCCTTTCTCGCAGATAGTTTTGTTTATTCTTATATTTTCATTGAGCTTCATCCCAATGAAATCGGAAAGAAGCTAGTGCGACCCTATTTTCTCTTGTTCTGTAATAAGGAGAATATCTTGTCATGAAATATTTATAGTTTTATGATTTTTTTCCCATATAAATGTCGTTGGCAGCAAAATAGACGGAGGTTACCGTACCAACCGTAGTACGAACTGGGAGCCGTCATTGAACTTTTGAAAATAATAGATTTATACACGTTTGTTTTATGAATCATAATCAAAAGTATTTGGAGGATATTTTGCTGAAACTTGGTATTATTTTCACGTGGATATTTTTCGTATTTATTGCAAACAATATTGTGTGTACTCGGTTATGCTTTTAAGCAACCGTTGCACAGTCGGAAATCTAGTGACAAAATATTACCTCCCCTGTAAACACTGAAAACTTGACCTTTAAAATGTTTGTCCCATTTTAACAAGGACGCTATCAAATATAAATTCACGGGAAAACGTTCTGGTAAAAAACGAAAATAGAAATAAGTTGAAATAAAAACAAAACTTCCATTTCATGTAATAATTTCCCTCTTTAAATAGAAAACGACCAGTACAGCAGACTAAAGGAGCTTCGTGTAAAATTGGTTTAAAATGTTATGCAAATGAATTCCTGGAGTACAAATTTCAATTTATTTGTTTAATGGCTGCAAACCTGTCTGGAACATGTTAATTATCCATATATATATATATATATATGCAGCTAGATCAGAGAGAGTCCGGGAAAAAATTTCAAAGGAATCGATTGATATGCAGCAAAGATTGACACTTTTGAAATTAAGTTACTAAGCAAATTCAAACGGACCTTATCACAATGTAAACATTGAATTGAGAAGACCGCAAATACTTGTACAAAAATCGAGACGACCCTTTCTTAAAATTGTATAAAAAATAGTAAAAGACGACTCTTTTATAAGAATATTTATCTTTAAATTTTTTAACCAGCACAGATATACTTGTATATTGTTATATTAATGAAAAGACAATATTTCTATATAGAATTTTCACGTGACATGAGGAGACCGGTGTACTCGAAAACGTAGAATGTGAAAAATAAGTATATTTTGGGAAATTGTAACATGTTAAGGGATTTGTGAAACACTCCAAAAATTGGTGACCCGAAGTATCTTTATATTTTGTATGTACATGATTTTTTCCAATTTTTTTTTATCAATATGCAGCAAAGATTGGCATTTTTTAGATTTCAGTTTCACAAGCTTCTAATGCAATTATCTCGATAAATACTGAACATAAAAAAATCGTGTTTTTGCATGTATATTTCTAATAACACAGTTTAACAAATAATTTCTTTAAAATGTACAATTATTATTTAGAAATAATTTTTGATCAGTATCGTCACCGGCATTGTTTTATTATTGGCTTTCTCGACTCTATCATAAGAAGAGTGAATTTTCTTTTGTTTTCTAAATATCTCACTGTGCACGAACGGCAAATAGAAGCTAAAATATAATAGAGCACATTTATAACCTATATGATTTTGGCAAATTAAATTATTAATACAATATAGAATGAATTGATTGGAATTTTTTGGGTAGCCTTTTAGCAAACATGAAAAAATAAGAGCCATTTTAACATACAAAATTAATAATGTATTAATCGGCTACACGAAATTTACCATCTAAGTCGTTTATGCAGGCCTGTAAAATTGTTAAAGTAAGTATACGCAGTATACATATTTATTCTAACATCTCCATATAAGTGCTCAACAATGCTTTTTTAACAATAAGTATCAATTGTTCACATTCTTAATAAAATTGAGAATGGAAATAGGGAATGTGTCCAAGAGACATCAACCCGACCAAAGAGCAGAAAACAGCCCAAGGCCACCAAAGTTCTTCAACACAGTGAGAAAATCCCGCACCCGGAGGAGGGCTTCAGCTGGCCACTAAACATAAATGTGTACTAGTTCAATGAAAATGGACGTCACACTAAAATCCAAAACATATAAACGAACTAAAATTAAAAAAAAACATTCAAGACTAACAGGTGCAAAAATGCGGCGGGGTTAAACATGTTTTGTGAGATCTCAGCCCTCCCCTTTACCTCTAGCCATTGTAGAGTAAACAAACACACAGCAATACGCACAGTAAAACTCAGTTTAGAAGAAGTCCGGGTCCGATGTCAGAATAGATAACAAAAGAAACTAAACAAAATGACAATGACACATAGATTAAAAAGGACTACTAGCAGTTACTGACATGCCAGCTCCAGACCTAAATTAAACTGATTGAAAGATTATGTCTTCAGCATATGAAAATCAAGCAAATCCCTCCCGTTAGGAGTTCAGTATCATACCATCGATTCATAAAATATATGAAAAGAACATAACCCGTTTCATGCCAACAACTGGTTTTAGAATAAATGTGTTTATTTCCGATTAAAACCATTATATATCGTAGTTCACATTTTAAAATATTATTATATTTATTATCTTTACCATTTTTTTATTTTTCGGCATTTTTCACAAAAATCGTCTTACACGTGATGAGAGACTTTACCCATAATAAAAGTACGAAAAAGGGTCAAATAATAAAATACGCTCGTAAACTTTTTGAAGAAGAGTGTCAGTGCAATTAACTATAATTATATTTCATTGTTCTTGTTTTTTTTATTTCAACAATTCTATTCATTGGTTGTTTTTTTCGCCGTCAATAGAGTCGTAAGTATTTATTTTTAAGTTTACTGTTTAAGAATTCATTTGTAGAAAAAAAATATTCGGTTGTTGATAAAAAAAACACATTAGAAAGGTACCCTTTTATCGCTCAATATGAAATCCTATCTCCCTCATCTTTTCAAGAAAAAAATATTCTGTAATTATCGAAATGAATAACTTAAATAATAATAACTATTTAAAAAAATCATGCAAGAACTATATTGAGAAATAAACATTATTTTGACATGTTACATAACGTATATATAACCAACATCAGCAACTAGTTTTTAAGAAAGTCGTTCATAGATAATTATGGAACGCCGTAACTGCCTTATGGTACTTCCTTCTTTATCATGATGAGGTTTTTTTTTATTATGATGAGTTTTTTCTCTATTATGATGAGGTTTTTCATTATTATGATGAGTTTTTTCTCTATTATGATGAGGTTTTTCATTATTATGATGAGGTTTTTCTCTATTATGATGAGGTTTTTTTTCTTTATGAGCATTTTCTTTATTATGAGAACTATAAGAAGGGAATCATGGGAAATTAAGAGAATCATGGGAATTTGAGAGAATTAAGATAAAACAAAAAGAAAAATGGCAGAATCAGAAATGTAAGTTCTTCGGAAAGTTGGCTTGCTCCATGTGCGGGAAATGTTGAAAAAGAAAAAAACACACCAAAAATTGTCAGCATACTTTCAAAACATGAACTGGAATATCTAGGAGTTACCATTCCAGCGCATATGATGACACTGAGAATGGAATGCATCATGTATGGAAACATGAAACCTGTGAAAACTGATGGTTTGGATGGTCATCCAAAATACCATGTCAACAAAAATGTACTGGAATCGTTCTTGGATTGTGATTTCAAGATATCGGACATTGGAAATCTCTTACAACTCTCAGAGAGAACAATCTATCGACGGATGGCTCATTTTGGACTACAGAAAAGAGATTTTTCTGACTTTAATGATGACAACCTTGACAATATACTTTCCGGCATTGTCGTGGACTTTCCTCGTTGTGGCGAACGCATGTTGCGTGAAATATTGAAAGGAAAAGGAATTAAATTACAAAGATGGAGGTTAAGAGATGCCATTCATAGAATAGACTACGCTGGTACCCAAGAGAGAAAGACCGGTCGACTGCACAGGCGTGTGTACAACGTGATGGCACCGAACCACTTATGGCACATAGACAGTAACCATAAATTAGTATGATGGAGATTCATTATACTGGGTGGATTTGATGGGTTCAGTAGGCTAATTATGTATCTACATTGTCGTGACAACAACAACATCCGCCACCGTATTGAGTAGCTTCCTCTCTGGATTAGCAAATTTTGGTATACCCTTAAGGGTTTGGTCAGATAAGGGACTAGAAAATGTATCTGTGGCGGATTTAATGTTGACAAAACATGGTGACGGCAGTATGATTACAGGCCCAAGCACGCACAATCAGCGAATAGAGAGATTGTGGAGGGACGTTTACGAGGGTGTTTTGTGCTATTTCTACAACTTATTCTATCATATGGAAGACCAGGGAATTCTCGATCCACTAAATGAACTGCATTTAGTAGCCCTGCACTACATTTACATGGATAAAATTATCAGAAGACTTGATATTTGGACTCAAGCT